CGAAGAAATGCTATGATATAAAATAACAATGTCACTTTTTACAATTATTAAATAGTTCGGTTAATATAGACACTTGAATAATAATTATGCCTACACTAGAAAGATGGGGAAGTTTCAAATTTGATTTCACCAATCATCAGCGTGTTGTAAATTTATGTTTTCACTATGTGTTTTAATTTGACCGGACTAAAAGATTTCAACCAGCCCGCACTGGGCCAGTGTGGTTGATTAAGGTCTAGTCACCCCTGACTTAGTGAGCTGATGAGAAGACTTCAGCGATAAAACTAGGAATGTCTACAATAAACTCAGAAAACAAGTAAGCTACGAATTAAAACGGAAGTATGCTAGTAATTAAAATCAATAATTTTCCTTATAATTAATGTTATTTTGTATTTACGTTTGTTTCTAGTAAGGTACTCATAGAGGAAAGTAATAAAATAATTGTACCATAGAGTTGTACTAATTGGTAATTTGTAACATTTTGCGGTTAATAGTGTATGTTTTTGTCACGGATAGATTAACTTGTTAAACACGAGCCCTTTGTAATTAGTTTAAACAAACAGCGAAAAATAGATCCATAGCACGTGTAGATAATGTTATATTAGCTTGAATGGTGTTACAAAAGTGTTATCGACTAGCCAGTTTTATATAGACGTATAACAAATTTTAGGTACGTATACATACCAAATTTAAGAATTGTTTTTACAAAATTTGGTACTTAATCTTATCTTAATAATAAATGCGAATGTTTGGATAGATGGATGATTGTTTAAAGGATTAATATGTCCAGAACGCCCGACATAGCCTGGAAGAACACATAGGCTATTAAGTGTGTTTGTAATTCCGCGCAGATGAAGCCGCGGGCGACAGCTAGATTTTAAAGAAATGACTTTTAATTTGTTTTTAATTACCACTAATTCAATTTAAATTTATGAAATATGTTAGTTTATACGTATGTATGTGTACTCGTGGAACTTTTTCTGTCAATAATCAATAAACACATTACAATACTGGTCTCACAAGATCTTATTGGAAAATTTCTATAAGAAAACATAATTGGTTTCCCTTTTATAATTAAAGTGTAAATATGTGTTTACGTCGTACGTTTTTAACATAAAACTAAAACCCAAAGACGTTTAATTTATCACTCTTGTGTCGATTTCTGTTACCGTGAGTTTCGAAATCTCTGTTAACAAATTATTGTTATCTCTGGTTAGTCAAATATATTGACAGGGATGACGATATATTTTATACAGAGATTTTGTTTTCTAAGATCTATTAAGTGTTCTCTTCATTCTCTTAGTTAAAGTTAATGAGAAATTATCTTAAATTTTCTTCAGTGAATTAGATTGTAAATGCGGCTTAAGGGGGTTCTAAGACAAGTGTCATTACGTATTGCAGTGTTAATGTGACAGATCGCAGATGTGCTATCAATTTAGGTCTGGTCAAATCCAAATTAGGTATACAAGCGGCGTCAGTTGCAGCTCGGTCTATTATTAGCGCATTGATAGTAGACAGGTGATGCCTAATGTCTTTGTACATCACATTTTTATATTTCAGCAAATCGTCTAAGGACTTGTTGAGCAAAATTGTTCTTTATAATTTGACTACTACGTAATAATTTGTTGTCTTTAACAATTGTTTTATTATCTATAATAATAGTTTATTACTTCGTGTAAAAATTCACTGTAAATTAGACTTATGATTAGCTTCTTAGAACTGTAAAGTTTATAAGTTTAGTTTCTTTTTCTATCAATAAAATCGAAGTTCAGTCGATAGTTTATGTAAAGGGGGTTATTATGTTTCTGAGTTTTTTTTTCAAATGAATTGTTTTGTTAGTATAAAAGATTTCGTCAAAATTTTTTAAAGGAAATAAAAAAATTAACAGGACCTCTTTTCTGTATTACTAACAAACTTTTTGTTTGTAAGTAGTTTAGTATAAAATATTCAATTAAAAAATACAATAATAATTTGAAAAACAAAATTAATAATGCACGTAATAAGTGTTATAAATATAACGTTAACCGCTTTCGGGATTTCAACCGCATTTTTTTCCGAATAGCTAATTCAAAATACAATTTTCATGAGTTCATCGTCTAATTATATGCCTAAACTCTTTGCGGATTATTATTATTTTTACGACTGCCACATTTTAATATAATATTTGTGTAGAAGCGACTTATTAGAGTTTCATAACCCACGTAAATACAGAAAGAAATAGTGTTGAATTAAAATATATTTTGGTCACAAAATATAAATTTTCATTAGCTGTATTTGAAAACAAAATCAATTTAAACGATACGAATAAAAATTTCTGTTTAAGTTTTCGGTGTTTTTTTCACGATGGTATGAGCAAATAGAACACTTTTTAAGCCAACATTTGGATAAAATTACTAAATAATATTAGCAAATGTTTATGGTTTGTTTTAAGAAAGGTTTAAGCTACTGTAAAGAGATATTCCTTAAGTATCTATATTTAAAGTTTATATCTCAATTTTTTTTATAAAAGATATGATAAGTATAGGAATTTTTAAGGTTTGATTTAACCCAAAAATTCTTATCGGTACAGTAACAAAGTTGCTTATCAATGTGTTTACAATTAGACGATTTTGAAGGTTGTTAGGTATGTTATGAATAAACGAACGTTTGGGTGTGTTGGATAGATGGATGGACGTCTGTTAGAAGGTATTTCCAAAATGGCTGAACGACTCCCGCTCAAATTTGGCATCGATATAAAACATAGTATGGAAGAAGACATAGGCTACTTATTAATATTTATTTTAATTAGGCGCGGACGGAGTCACGGGGGACAGTTATATTATTATACATAATTTGATCAATCACATCGCAACAGAATATTTAATTATTTTCTTAAATAAATAAAATGACGAGAGTTAAAATTAAACAGAATTTTATCGATGAAATAATATGCAACAGATTTAAAAGGTCAAGAATAAAATTAACATATTTATAAAGATTTTAAAACATACTAAAATGGAAGGAGGAAAGCCGAAATAGTTTTCTTGGCTATAAATAAACATTTGAAACATATTTTCTAGTAAATTCTACGTGAAATTAATAGATATAAAGATACTTTATATTTAGGTTAAAATACAATAGATTTTTGTAACCGTATAACCCAATTGTCTAGATTGTTAAATGAGAAATAACTAATTGCTGGAGTCATTTTTTAACAGTCAATATGTCTGCATCTTGCAATTAGTGAAGTCTACGCTAATGAAATAATTTCTTTACTAGGATAACATATATTGAATTATGTACACATTTAAATATTAATAGAAGTTTTATTACGACAAATTAGTTTATATTCTAATCTCACAGGAATACAGAACTATATGAGAATTGACTTACTAAAACTTTGTGGATATCCACGTGAGCGACTGGAGAGAATCACTGGATCATCAAAGATATTACGGTCGGCCAATCTTACAATATGTTTGAGGGAGTCAAAGAGTAATAATAATAAAAGGTATTAATGAACCATGTAGTATAATGGATGGATAAAATTATTTAATGTAACTGATGGACAACGTGAAAATGTAATACATATACTTATTAGAATTATATTTTAAGCTTGAAACTGTTGAATTGATTTGTTTCTAATAAGAATAATAGAATTCCTTGACATGTTTTAATTAAAATAATAAAATAAGTTATTGAACAAATAATGACGGTACAAATTTTATACTAAATAGTTCACGACTATGTTAATAATATAGTGATTATTTTAATCAAAGTTTAATAGTTTACGATAATTTATCTTTCGATGAAATCGAACGTAAATCCGTTACTATGATTATTTGTTATTGTGAAATGAAAATAAATAGTAATCGAAGAGATTAGAATGAATACTTCAAGGTGGCTGGACGGTAGCGACGGCAGACAACATAGATTAATAATGTCTGATAGTAGATGTATGATTTTATAAAAAAGCTCTTGATCAGTTATGTTCTGGTACCGACTAATAAGTATGTAAAACGGATAAGATTAAATTAATCTTTTCAGATTATGGTACAGATCAAGTAAATCAAGTGAAATGAATGTTCAGTAAAACTGTATACGAGTAGACAAAATTTGAACTGTACAGTTAAAACTGAACAGAAGGCGGGCTGTATCAATTTTGTTAGTTCTGTAAGTATTTGACTGGTACCAGGATCACAGAGGAACTAAGAGTTAATGACATTGCAAAATGTTACCATAGAAACCTACCTAATAATACGACGAAATCTCGGTAATATACAAGCTAAAAATATGATTTAACACAGTTTTAAATTATTATTCCTCAAAGTTATTGACAAACTTGTTATTTGATTTAAGACGTAGATTTTTATCATTGTTTACATTTGTGACGTGAAACGATTCCAAACATTTTCCTGTTTATAGAAAATTGATTTTTTGTGTTTTTTTTAATTTACTAGTTGCAGTACTTATGTATTTTAAAAACGACTTTATTAATTTTAAATAAATACGTAGATAATTAATTAAATGTTTAATTTACATTCGCTTAATACGCACTTAAAAAGCTAAAGTATATCTCTTGAAAATATTTGCATTTAAAGTAGGTTTAAATACTAAAAATAATACTATAATACAACTAGGATTGTCGTAGCGGCACTGTCTTTGTAAAATATTAAACAGAATAATATTACGTTGAAGGCATTTAGTACTGAAACGAGAATAATATTTTGCGTGTCGAATGCGCGCGAAACTGAGCGTGGAAAAGCGGCGCGGGCGCGTCCGCGCACTCAGCGCTGAGCGCAGTCGATTTCGCAAACCACCATCTAATGTGAACCTATTAACCTCTCCGGCGAGCGAGGCTCAGGCGAAGTCGAGAGGCGGATGAGGCGTCGAATAGTGCGTTCATTAAACACAAGGTTGTACCCGCCGTCCCCGGGCCCCGGCCCCTATCGCCCTATGTCCGCTCCCACGACGCGTCCGTATAAAAAAATCAAAATAAAAGTAAATAAACAAATCCTCACCTTGCAAACTGTAGTGCACTTCTATTTGCAATCTCATTGTACAGACTCAAAAGGACGTTGCTGTCGAACATATTATTAACACATCACAGCCATTTGTTTCACAAATAAAAACATATAAAAAACAATAACAATCCGAATACGAAGCACCAGCGATCACAGGATTATCACACCGGCCGATCCTAGGCACGTCCGTGCGCGAGCGACGTCAAATCAAACTGGCCCGGTCAAAATGACGAAAGTGAAAACATCGCACGCACAGAAAAAAAGGTTGGCGGCGCGGCACAGTCCTTGCAGGCCACCTCTCGCGCGGGCTCCAGTGACACAGTAACTGCGCGCTCGCGCATCGCCCTCGCCTATATAACGAAACGCTTTGCGGCCCCGGCTTCAAACGCCGGCGGACGGCACAAAAAGAAGATGCCTCGCAACGGTAGCTAGAAAAGAATGAACACAAAGAATGGCGACACGTGCGCGCGTATGTGTGCACGTGCGCGTCTGTGTGCGCAGAGATAGGCGGCCGCAGGAAACTCCGTTCTCTTCCACTAGGAAAGACCTTGGAGTTGAATCGGCACGTTGCAATGTGTACCGCCATCGCCTACGCCGGTGCCCGGTACCTACTCGGCGCCTTACCGCCTCTCCGCCACACTACGCCACAGCCGATCATTCCATATTACACGTTTGTTTTATGTGCCATGTACGATTCATAAGATTTCCTAGACCGTAAACAACATGGGCACATTTTGCGCATCACACATCCAATAAAAAAACTTATTATGTAGGCATTAAAACTCATGTTAACACGAAACGATAAGACGTCGGAGTTCGTGGACAAAACAAAATGTAAATCTAGTCAAAGTTAATTAGTATAGCAGCGATTAAATTGTTTTACCAAACGATGACAGCTGCGCAAACGGTACAAAATGTTGTCGAAGACAATGGTGATGCAACGAAAGTTGATAATGTTTTTAACAGTTTGACACGTTCCGGGCGTGGGCAGTCGGTCAAATTAACGCGCGAGGAAGTGTTTTGCGCAACCTCGTGTGAAGAAATGTAAGGAAAGATGGGTTAAGTGAATAAGTAGGTAAATGACACATTTGTACATTATGCTGCAAATCGGAAATAAGGAAATTACTTAAATGTCCGGTTACACTTTTTTTCTACAATTAGTTGAAAAATAATTTTAAATTAGAATCAGAAATTGCATTTAATTTAAATACATATGACCAAGGTAAGACTCGAAACAGAGTTTTAAGTTAAATAAAAAAATATATATCTGCAAATAACCACGTACATTTATAACTTTCACATTTTATATAATAATTAACGATTATCAGTTCAATACTTACTTAAGCAAAAAAAAAACTATAACGCGATTTACTGATTAATTGTATTCATTACTTGACATTAAATTGTTCAAATGAAACTCGCGAACGCCACAAAACATTATTTAAAATGTGCTAAAACGAGGCGAGCAGCGACTCGTTCCGTTTTGATAACGTAACAGCATTTCACTTTCGTTTCCACACTCTCATTGTCTAGTGAGCACGATTGGATAACTGCGCAAATATCTTCCGAAGCCGCGGCTTACATAAATGCCTCATGATCTGCTTCTGTGTGAATCGCATTAATTGCGTCTTATTTTTCAACTCTTTTATTTTTATATTAAAATTGTTATTGATATCTCAATCTGTAACAAAGTGAGAGGCTACCACACTGAAGTCTCGTCTTATGTATATCACAATTGTACTCGTATATGTATTCATTATTGTTTTTGCTCCCAGAAAAAATAATATCAATGTAGATGTCGTCTGGTATTTCTCAAATAACGCCGGCTCAATACAACAGATAAAGAGCTGTCTATTAATTATTAATAGTAAACTGTCATAAAATGAATTGTCTATCCGTCACTGAGACGTCGGCCATTTCATTCTCATTTGTAATACGGAACAATAGTCTATTTAGTGTTTTGCAAATTGTAATACACAATGAAATATGAATAGCATAAAGTGTGGTCTAATTTTAGCGAGTTTTCTCGATTTAATTACCAAGAAAATTGTCGTGTTTACTCTAATGACCATATTTGCGCAATGCTGCCGAAATGTGAATCATACTGTGATTACGACGAAATGAAAGAAGCGCGGGAGATGACGAAACAATACATACAATTACTGTAAAATAAAAGATAAACAAAAGTATTCTAATTACGATATGTCATCGCTTAAATATTATAGATATCTATGCAAATAACCTTGTGTTCGACATTATTTTAAATATTAAATACATCTATTTTTTATTATAAAGCACGCTTTGATATTTTAGTGTATTATTTCAGGATTTTTTAAGTAATATTTAAAATGGCTTTTAGAAAATACTCAATTTTCTTTCTGTAAAACAAAACTGAGCATACAAATTAAAATATCAATGTATTCCTCACTATGCTTTGCGTTGAACTTTATAGTGTCTATGAAGGAAACATTTCCTCAGAGTAAATTCGAAAAGACAAGCCAATAGAATGGCGCGATTTCGAAACGCATTACTGGTTTGTTGGCTCCACCTAGATCGCTCGCCACGTGCATTTTACATGTATTTATTTTGGCTTTAAATTACATCTTATTTCACTTTAAGAGATGACATTTTGAAAAGAGATTAGAACAAAGAAATTATATAAGACAAGCCGTCGCCCGCAACTCCGTCCGCGCGGTATTAAAAAAAGTTAATAAGGAGCTTATGGGTTCTTCTAGACTATGTTCAACATCTATCCCAAATTTCAGCAAGATTTATTCAGGCCTTCCAGAGATACCTTCATACAAACATCCATCCATCTATCCATCCATCTAAACATTCGAAATTATAATACTAGTAAGATAGTAAGACTGATGAATAGCTTTAACATCTTCTGGAACTTAACCGATTTCGTCTTCAAAACCAATCTGTCATTAGTCATTTTATACGTGATTTTCATCATTGGTCAAAATTTCGTAACTGGTTTTACTATCTTTTGATTCTTTTTATCATAAACTATCGTTCGATTGATTATTTTTTTTTATTTCAAAAAGTTATAAATGTTTCGTTTTAGATCTTGTTGCTTTGATATAGTTATATGTAGCGTTATTTTTTGTTATATTTGCACATGTTTGCCAAGGTCAGTATTGTTTAACTTATAGAAAGCAGAATATTTGTGATGTCCGACAAAGAAAAAGAATTGTTGTGAGTATGAAGTCATCCGTGAGATTCGGCCGCGCCACTCCGGAGCCCGCACCGACACTTTCCCGTCACAATTTCTCTGAGTGAAAGTGAAACATATGTATTGTACTATTGTCAATGGCAAATCGCTACACTAATCTTAAATTTGAATCTTACTTGATATTTACCGGCGCACCCGTTATAATACTCGTTTGACAAAACGAAAGTTCGCTATTATAGTTGCGTAATTGAAATTTTACCCGATTATTAGGCGGTCGATTTGAAACGAGACGTTTCGTAAGAAACATTGTTGTTTTATATTTATAAATTGCTTATAAAGTAAATATTTATCGAACTAGCTGATTAGCGTTTTGTAATCGTTTTTAATATATTTTAAATTCTTACTTTGTTTCATAAATAGTTATAAATAGTTTCATTATTCTAATTAAAAATTTAAAACTATGTCCTATATGTATACTTATGTATTTATTTACTGGAAAGCTATATGGCCAATTTGGATATATAGACAATATATACTTAAAGGTATTTGATTTAAATGATCATATCATGTGCAAAGATCAAATTCATTAACGTTTACTTTAGATATGTCATGATATACCGCGACTGTCATTTGTTACTATTAAAGGAAAATTCGTTATCCGATTGGCCTTGGACCGCGTCCCTTTCAGTTCCACTAAATGATGACAATTGGTCATTACGTGCTCGTCATAGCGAGAGAGCAATGGTCACGGCAACACTGCAAGGTTTCCTAGATTTGCTGCCAACAGCTGGAGCAGGCGTGACACAAGATGAATAAGATATCGCAACACGATAACTAACCGATTTCTTTTCACCTTTCGTCTAATGGACGGCTAATGAGAAATTGTAAAGAAAAATCGAGGGGCCGGAGGTTTTGTAACGGTTATCGAAAGCGCGGGCCGCGGAGCTCGGGCGCTCGGCGTAGACGTCGAAAGTGAGACCGTGAGGTTGCGCAGGCGCGTTACGAAGTTTTTATCGTCGGCCGCGCGCGAAATCACTCGAAAGTTGTATTGTCCTTGGATATTTCACTTCTTTATTTGTTGCGTTTCCGACACCCGAGCCGAAGTTCAGTCGGCGGTGACGCTAATTGTGCACTTTGCGTGCGTCTCTCCGCTCTCCAGCTCTCGACCCCCTTTCACTAGGATCTCCTCAGATTAGATTATCGGAGGATGCAGTCGCTCATGTGTCCACGGTAGTTGAGATGTTAACATCGCTGTGACTGGAGATTTTACACCTGTACACTGAAAAAAGAAACACTCCGCGCAGCTCTTACCGAGGAACGATGTTAGGTGAAAATGGGTTTGTGTCGCAGCAGTCCAGGGTGCGTGTGAGCGCGAGAGTGCGGCTGCGTTCCCCGGGCTTGCGCCACTTCCCCGCTTGCGACACGCTTCCTCCGGGAGAGTGCGAGGCCGCGCGGGTTCGCGCCGCGCTTGCACAATACGGTTATCGGCGACCCGGTTTCGGCTTTGGCGTCCACTCGAACTGAATCCAGGGCTGGTGAGCACTAGGTAGCACTGTAATCCGGGCACAGTCACAGTCACGTTCGCGAGAGCGCGGGGGCAGTCGGCGCGACGGCGCTGCGGGCCGCGGGCGCCGGGCGAGTGGCGCGGCGCCGCTGTCGGTTGCGCCACGCTGGAAAGTAAAAGTAAGCGGCGAGCGCGGGGCGCGGCGGCACATTTCTCCCACTTTCGCCACCGTGATTCACTCGCACATGCCAAGGTCGCCTCCAGACACTCCTGCGCAATATGCTCCTGCTTCGTATGCTCTTAAGGATGTAAAACTAGTTCATAGGTTAAATGACCATAATGGTCCCCAAACCTGCAGAAAAACTACAAAATATCTTCGTATTTAGGTTCTTGCCCTTGTCTGTATACTACAAGCCATTTGCTATGTCGTTTTCACGCACATTAAAATAAAAATACGGTCAGGAATAGTACCTAGACCAAATCTATTTCTTGTTTCTATGACATCCCCTTTATTAGGGTTGTAATAATATTGCGACAAGCGAATGGATTTTCTTTGTTACCTGTACTTTTGTTACCTGTATCTGTGACTTTAATCCGCACCGCTGTTTGCCAGCAATAATGGTCATAAGTTTTCTCAGCGATTTGCAAACATTTTACTCCGTGAATTGGATTGCATCAGCAACCAAGCGGAAAATGAGATATTCTGTACTTCCGTGAATAGTTTATAGAAAGTTAAAATAAGAT